GATTTGGAATTTCCTTAAATGTTTTAATATTAAAAAAAATCTTGTCTGATTTGTCTTGGTCTGTAATCATTGGATTTCCTTATACAAAACATCTAGAGGTTTTATCAGTGGCAAGAGTATTGTGAATTTTTTTCCTCATTATGCTTCTATTTGTTAAATCAATTTTGTTAGGCTATTGAGCTTTTTCATTTGAAGAGCCAAGTTTCTGTGTTTACTTCCTTTAGAAGGTATATGATTGTTATAATCTAGCCCATATACATGTTATGTGGTTGCGAAAAATATTGTAGTTAAAATTCCGGTTCTATTAACATGGCAAATTATGGACTTCTTCAACCTATCAAAATGTTTACCTGTAAAGCCATCTAAAGACTAATGATTTTATTTTGGTTGTCCAGCTAGATGAAGAATTATACCGTGCAAAATGCCATATTTCAGAGGGGGATGTGTCATCTCTTCTTCCAAACAAAGATCATGGTGCATTATCTTTTGTTTACTTTTTTCTGGATTCCAATTCTGATCCTAAATTGAATTTCCTTTTTTCTTTTCCAATATGTGATGTCCATGTCGATCGTTTTTCTTTATGAGCAAGAATGTTCTTGAAGATGTTCCTTGGAACACTGAATGTTCAGGCTACAAGGAAAGAGGTTCGTCTTAAAGTGAAAGAGGAGTACAACGATTACAGGTTAAGTTGTTTTGTTTATTTGGTTACATAGATGTCTTTCATGTTTGAAAGTTGAAACTTCATATTTGATAAAGAGGGCTCATTCTTGTTATTGTTGGATAATTAGAAGAGTAGTGTAAATTCTAAAGATTTGCATGTATATCTCTAGCTTTTCTATAGGCTTGAATGGACCATGACAAGGTTTCCTTCTCATCTATGGTGCAAATTTGTGGCTCATGAATACCAAATGATTGTTTTTAGGCAGTTTCTGTGTTAGTACTCATGTTCAAGAAACTCTTATGTATCTGTCAACTTATAAAAGCAGTTTTTGTTTTAATCCTTGTTGAAATCGCACCACCATCATGTTGGTAGGTCCGTTTCCATGGTTTTCGGGACACTCTTGTTGTACTTTCTTCACCTGTACTTTCACTTCATTCATTTTTCATGGTCTTTGTTTAACTAGAAAATGCACAAAGTGTGGAAGATCAACCTTAGAAAACTAACATTTTATGGTGATCATGTAATCATGATGATGTATTGTTAAGAATACTTAATTAAATGAGGGATCTGAAGGTTGCAGCTCTATAAAAACTTTACTTTTAATATCTCCAGTGAAAATCTACCAATAAATCTGAACTTGACCAAACCACATGATAGTGTCTTTGTTCTATTGAAAAGTTAGATTGAAGAGAATCATCCAAAGCTTATAGGCAACCTAATCAAACATATTCTGAGCTGTTCCATCACCATCTAATCCTAAGTTATTAGTGTTTAGTGACATTAACAAATAATTCTTCCTTGCATCTTATTGATTCTCATCCTTCTAAGAAGTAAATTACGAAAGAGTATCAGTGGCATGTTCTGCGTTTGAGCACATCACATAAAATTGCCAAGGTTAGTTAGTCATTAGGGATGCTGACTCGGCCATTAGTAGGAGATTTCTGTTCTTTATTCCCTGTGATTCAATTCTGGTAGTAGGCTTGCGTTGGTGGAAATTCTCCCAATCTGTTCCTATTAAGTTAAATATATTACATTTACATATGAAAGGTAGATTTAAGTTTAGAAATTCCACCTTGTAACCTGACAGTGCCGTCAGACAACCATGTTGATATATGAATTTCATGACTATCTATAAACAATCTAGATGTAACTGGAAAGCAACCATCTTCTTGCTTAGAGGTTGACATAATTTTGTGAGTAAATGTGATGAAGATGGTGTACTTTGCAACGTAGTGCATTGTGATTTTTGATGCATATGAAAGAAAAGAAAACTTTCCATCAAAGCCATGCAATAATATGCTATCATTATCTCTTGGTAGGTCAAAATCACATTTGACAATAGTGTAACTTCCTTTTTGCAGGATCGAACGACCTTTCTGTTTCTTTTCTTTCCCTCCACTATGCTACTATTAAGGTCTTGGATTTGGAATGGATGCTTCCCAGCATTGGTAGTTCAGCTCTACCAGGTAGATAGTACCTTTCAATTGCATATCATCATCATATGTTTTTGTTTGGAATTTGTGGTTAAAGATGTTGTTTTGGTTTAAACATTTGTTGTTTTCTTCCCAGGCATGGCTATTATTTCTCTATACAAGTTTAGCTTTGCGAGAGAACATACTCAGAGTAAATGGAAGTTATATTCGCCCTTGTTAGTAATCATCCTTCCATCTTTTTGACATTGGTTAAACTTACAGTCAAGGGAGCATGTCAGGGTCATTGCTGATTTTAGTTTAGGCTAAATAGATATAAAATCTGTCACCAAATGTTACTCAGGATAATATTTGCTATCTCTGATTGAGGTAAACTTAATGTACATATTTAGTGCTTTTTGTAGGGAAGATTGTTTCTCTATCAGTACCTACAAGCAATACAACTACCACCTTTATTGTGTTCATAGTGATTTAATTTTGCTTATTATATTGATGCAGAATTCAAGTTAACAATATGGTTAACTTGATATTAAAATGCATCTGTTCAAGGGTATATTGAATTGGTACATCTGGTTTAGGATTTTAGTGGGTTCAGTTCACTTAGAGTGGCAATGAGGGGGCATCCACATGATTTGATATAAGTAAGATCTTCAAACGCTATCTACATGATCTGATATAATTATGATCTTCAAACCCTATCCATGTAAACCAGCTTGTCAGCTAAGTCAGATTTTGTGCTACCAAGCTCAACTATTATAATGCTTTAACTTTTATTGGTGAGTTACAATGACGCCTTAATTATGAATACGAGAATCTCATTTCAACATTTAGATAGAACAAATTACTATTTATATAGGGCTTGATAATTGTTTATTATCTAGGACAGCATTGCTTTTCATAAAACAATTTTTACTTGTGCTCTTGCAGGTGGATATTCCGTCATTATTGTGCTATGTTGATGGCTCTTGTGAATCTCACATGGGAGATAAAAGGGCAACCTGATTGTGCCAACAAGCATGTAGTTAATTTCTTATTTATATATTAATTTGATAATTATTATATCCAATCTAACACGAATTTTGCGCAGAAAGGGGTTGAATTGTTTCTTGTATGGGCGGTCATGCAATGTTTTGCAATGCTTCTACAAAATAGATACTAGCGCCAGCGGTTGTATACTCGCATTGCTTTAGGCAAGGTAACATCATATATTTTTTACTTGAATTTTTATCATAGTGAATTTTTGCACCCTTTGGTAAAGCAAATACTGCCATGACTGCTTTACTCTTTGGTTTCCTATTCATCTGTCTATGCGGATTGATAAATTATTAATCTTCAACTATTGTGCTTGTTTAATGGATAAATTACGCGGATGTATATATTTTTTTTGAGGCAATAACCTACAAGTATAAAGTAACATTTAATAGGTACTAACCTGCTCAAACCCATACAAGCATACATACAAGAGATTATTGAGTTTGATGGTACATGCTGACTTCTTTCTAATAGGACTTGGCAGAAGTCTTTAGTATCCGATAAGAGAAAAGACAGAAAATTCAGACTTAGTGTAGAAGCAAGCAAGCACTTCGATCAACTGGTGTTTTGCATGCAATAAAGCGTTTTTGACAGTATCAGGACAGCTCAATGCAGAACCTTGTTTATAAACCTTGGAATTTCTTTTTTCCTATTATTTTTACGGATTTTTTTCTCATATGCTTTGATGTCTTGTCCATCAAATAGATTTTTGTGTCTTTTTACTCTGTTGAATCATGTTCCTTTGTTTAAAACTACATTAGTTTAACTCTAAAAAATAAATTGTCCTCTAAATATCAAGGGGAAAAGTTATTCACATGATTCCCAGATGACATCTCAACCTAACAACCTAATGAGAGAATAACATGGCTTGAGGTTCAGAGGATGCAAGTGCTAATAAATTAGTCTTATGGGCATATAAATGTCTATATCTCTGTAGTACAGGAGGTGTATCTGCAATTAACACTTTTTTTTGTAATTTTATATTTCTCCATATGATCAAGCCTAAGTGTCGTCTCTCTTCATTTTTCTCTCTCTTTGCAGGCAAGGAGAATGGATGTTGTGTGGGGAGAAACTGCCGGTGTAGAAGGCCAACTATGGCTTCTGTGCCCCCATCTTTTTTTACTTTACATGTATAAGGTTAAGCTGCATAATTACAACCTCGTTGTTGGCTAAAAATTCTTTTGTTGTTGCTGTTTAGCGTAATTTAGATTCGAGAGCATGCATCTAGGAAAGATAAATTTCAAATGAATTGTGGAGTCACACCGTGCCAGCTACCACATTTTCATTTCAAGTGTATCTTTCATTGTATGCATCAGTAATCGAAATTACTCATAGTATCTTAAACATTTTTTTTTTGAGTTTAGGGTTTTGAGGCGTACGTTGGGATATTGCTTCTTAAAACTGCTTTTGTTGGCGTTGCTTCCGAGTGGCAGGCAAGAAAACCTTGTCCTATTTTCTTTTGTTTCTTCTTATAGAATATGTAATGTCTACCGTCTTAGCATAGATGTCTCTTGATTTCTACTTTGATAATGCAGGTCATATTTTGTGGCATCTTGCTGGTAATTATGGCAGTAGGCAACTTTGCAAACACGGTGCAGACACTCATGGCAAAGTCAATATTCAAAGCTAAATTGAGACAGACAAAGAGCAAGCAAGATTTGGACCATTCTCTGTCTCCACCCTCTGGGAGATGGAGACTGCTATTGTGAAACGATCAGCTCCCTCCTCTTCCAATGTCATGTTTGAGTTCTATCAGCAACGCTATTCATGTTTGTAAAGTGTTTTTTATTTGTTTACAAATGAAGTGGTGCCTATAAGAACTGCAGGCAATACTGCAGTTTACCTAACCATGTATTTATTTGTTTACAAATGAAGTGGTGCCTATAAGAACTGCAGGCAATACTGCAGTTTACCTAACCATGTGAATGAGGTTAATGTATCAAGTTCTTGTTTCAATAAATAAGTGCAATTATGAACCTTTTCTGCCGTCTCTTAGCTTGAGATCCTGGCTGAGTTACACAAGGAATTTTGTTGGTGCTGAGAAGTGGAGGCATAGGGCTGACGTCATCATCATCGGAAAAGGGAACTTTTGCTGTCGGTTATTAGATGTCTGATTGAGGGTGTTTGCGAGTTGTGACAGGCAAATAATGTGTTTGAACATTTTGTGACCATTTTACATTCCCTACGGTAATGAGGTATTTTGATATATAATTCCTTACAATTTATACTTCCTATACATTCTAATACTATGAAGATACTTTGTTGATACAGGTCAGTTATTGTCTTGAATGGGAAGGGAGCTGAATTGGCAAAGCATTGTGTACCTGCAGATCCTACGAAGAGGTGCATGCTCAATCTACTTTAATTAGATAGAGAAGGATGTCATATCATCCCTAGCATTTATGACAGTTAACAAATTTATTTCAACCTGCATGATATCTATCACCTACAGAAAGATGAAAGAAAGCTTGTATCGAATAGGGTTCAGCTCCGAACCAGACCTCCAGAACATCCTGCCACTAATATACAATTAACCTAGAAGGAACCAACATCATGCGAGTAGTAACAAAAAGCCTAGCTCACAAGGGAGAAGCTTCAACAGAGGTAGGAAATGCATATGAAAGCCTACTGCTGGGAGCCAATGTCAGTCATATGACCATGAAACTACACCTAATGTGAGACGAAGACAAGTTATAGATGACCAATCTGCATCAACCAGTGATAATTCAGTATGAAGAATGTATGAATCGAATCCTAGATTTTCCTCAGAGAAACCAAATGAGAGTGGACAGAGATTGAGTTTAGTATATTATTTAAGTCTTCAAATGTTTGGTACACGAATCTCTACTATTTGTGGTGTATTTGTCTAAACTATCCCTGAATTTAATTTTATTGTACAAACGTTGTGAATTTTAAAATTTTGTTCATATCTTGGCTATATTGTTTACATTCAATAAATTTATACCAAATCTCTACCTAAATAAAATTATAATTTAAAATAATATTAAAAATTTTACCACGTGCATTGCACGTGCAATCCAACTAATGTCATGTAAAAAACGTGTGCGCATATGCAACTTTTGTTTTCATGATAGTTTGATGCTCTCTTGAGGAGTTAATGATGTGTGATATTTCGCTTGAAGGTCTAGAATTCCCTTGGTTATGGTGCTTCCATAATCTCAAATCCTTGTGTACAAGAACGTGAAACTCGCTCTTTTCATATCGTGCAGTTCCCGTCTAACGTACTTACATTAAAGCATGTGAGTTTGCTAAAGTGACATTAATAACTCTCAGTTAGGTTCATATTTAAAGATGTATATGTACATTCATCATCATATCTCACTCTTGAAACAATTTATTCTATCTCACTCTTGAAACAATTTATTCTTGTTCTTGCCTGGAACTAGGGGTGTTAAACGGGTGGGTTTGGGCATTAAACGGGCGGGTCATAAATGGGCGGGCATGTTTTGCCCATTTACCCATTTATGACCCATTTAACATTTTCTAAATGGGCGGGTTTTTACCCGCCCATTTAATAAACGGGCCGCCCATTTGCCCATTTAACTATAGTAGCTATATATGTATAATACTTTTAGGGTATTTTTTGTAAACTTTTAGGGTTTTTTTGTAAACTATTGGGGTTTTTTTGCAAAATTTAGGGGGTTTTTGTAAACTTTTTGAATTATCAAAATACGCACAGGCATGTACGTTACCCATTTAGAAATAGCATGAACATATTGAACAAAATAGCATTAAATTTACCAATCAAAATACGCACAGGCGTCGGAGGCTCTGGGTTCGAGAGGCGGCGGAGGAGGCAGCGGAGGAGGCAGCGGAGGAGTAGGGATTGGGGTTGGGATTGAGGTGGAGAAAGAGCTCAGCTGCCCTAGAGAGAGAAAAGAAGAGATTTAGCGATTTTAGGGTTTTTGTTTTGGGAATACGGGCGGGCGGGCAAACGGGTAAATATACACCGTCCATTTAGTGCCCATTTAGTATCATTTGAAATGAACCCACCCGTTTAGACCCATTTAACTAAATGGGTGGGTTTTGGACGGGCCAAGTGATGGGCGGGCCAGGTGGGTAAATGGGTATGGGCAAAATCTGCCTTCCCTACTTTACACACCTGACATTGTGAGTTTTTACATCGCAAATAAGACCGTGAGGATTTTTCACTCCACTACACGTATTTGTCAATCCGCAAGATGATACGATGATACTTATTGATCGATCCGCAAGATGATGCGATGATACCTTTTTGTCGATCAGCACAATGATGCGATGATACTTATTTATCGATTCGCAGATGATGTGATGATACTTATTGGTCGATCTGCATTATGATGCGATGATACTTTTTTGTCGATCTGCACGATGATGCGATGATACCTATTCGTTGATCCGCATGGTGATGCGATGATACCATTTTTGCCGAATCACATAAGTATATGTTTTATTGAGAAACTATAGAGAATGATTGACCCTGAGTTTTTGGCAGATGCCCAATGTGATATTACTCGTTGTTTAGATAACTTGTTATATGAGTACACGAGATACATATGTTAATGTTTATTATTATGCTTTATTTTCCAGTTATATTTTGTTTGTTTAGTTCAAGGTTAATATTTACTTATTTACTACTTGAGAGATACGGTATATACATGAGGGTTTCCTTGTTTGGATTATTTCGCTCGACGTACTACGTCTCGAGTGGTAAGTTTTTAAGTATTAATTCCATTAGGTTCGGGAAAAATAATCTAGGTAGACTATGCTTAATAGATAGAGCCTCTATTTCATCTAGCAGCCTTCCCCCGAGGACGGATGGAGGTAATCTTGCTAGCACTCTGACGCTCTTGTTGTTGTTCTTTTTCTTTTATTTATTTTAACTTTCAGACAGCTCAGAGCACCGAAGAGTCCCAGGATGACGAAGTTTTTGCATAGTCGTCGTTGCATGGTTTATTAGCAGGGACTCCGCAATAGTCTTATGTTTCCACTCAGTTATTTGGGTTTGTACTCATATTGTTAAGGCAGTTTACCTTAGTACGATTTCTAGTCGATTCATGTTGAGACATATCATGTTATTTTAGACTCCAGATGTATTTCAGTTATTCTAGTCGAGACATGATATCATTATGAGATATTTCTTTCTACATCATGTCTATTGTATTTTTATTTCCCTTATTTGACTGTTTTGCACCTTCACTTATACTTGATTCCACTAGAGGATATTACTGTGATTGGTGAAACATGTTGTTGCACAGTGGAGGTGCATGACCGGTTTAACATCTCTGGGTTCACCTTGTACTGCAGGCAAGTATGAAAACAGGGGCGTCACAGTTGGTATCAGAGCTCTAGTTCTAGTATCCTTAGGATCATCCTGTGTCGAGTCGTGGAGCTAGAATAGAGTTTCTCAGGATTCATGTATAGAGTCCGCTAAGAATTTCCTAGAATGAGTGAGGACGATATATGCGTATATCCCAAAATTTTGGAATTTTTTTACAACTATTTTATGTTGATTTCAAAGTATTTGCGTGAATACTATGTGTTATGAATAAGTATTGTGATACGTTATGTATATATATGTTTGCGACCTCATTAACTGTGTCAATTAAGCTCTCATCTTGATATTATAAATATCGGGATGAGGACATGGTCGAGGTAAAACTTGTACCCGGAGGGCTGGACAAGTAAAGCCGGAGCCGCAGTAGGCTCCACAGTATTTGATCGACTTCATGACGCTGTTTATAACAAGATTTTTGTAGCACTCAAGGAGCGAGAGGCGTATCCATTTCCGCCAGCAGTACCAATTTCAAGAGTTTCCAATTAGTATTTAGCCAGTCGAATATACATCATTTTCTCACTAAATGATCATCAAAGACAAGCATTGCCTCCTATTGAACAGTAGTTAGATGGGTAATAATTTATTGTTAACTACATGACCTTCAAGGTACCATCCTAGGAAATATTATCAAGTTATGCCTACACAAACTATACAACCTAAAGTGAGCATGCTGAGCGGTAATCATAGGTAGATATGCTTTAGGATGCAGGAAAAGTAGACACCATGCTGAAAATAAAGGGAGGCAGGGGAGCAATAGCATCAAGCACCAAGAAATTTGATTCGCAGATGTGCACTAAAACAAGTTTCATTTCCCCCTGACATTGCAGAGTGCAAGTGCATGAACTAAACAACCTAGGAAGTGTGACCACAACTGATCAGACGTAGATGCATATAATACGTACGTGGTCACAACTGATCCTGGAATTAGACTCCATTAACTGTATTGAAAATTACAAAACTACATAAGATTCATAAAATTAAATAAAATTCAACAGATAACACAAATTCAGCAAAGCAACACTTTAACCGAATAAAGAATCCCTGCCTGTCACATAACTACTTAGTCAGTACAAACACAAAAGGAAATAGTACTTTAAGACTTTCATCATCTTTCTTATTGCATTAAGAAAACAACTTCCTTATACAAAATGCAACCATAAGTTGAAACCAAAGAGTACTCTGAACTAATCCAAATAATATTCCCAAATTCAAGAGTCTTACCTAACCCAGCTTAAATCATATATCTTTCACCAACTACCCTTTACCAGCTTCAACATGAAGAAATAGTACTTTAAGACAATGAGCTATCATTCAAATAATTTTGGTTAGCAGTGAATTATAAATTATAAATTACATTAAAAAATCTAAATTCCTGCCATTTCCCATTACAACAAAGCTACTAAACAATAGCAGCTAATTAGTAAAACTTTTTTAAAAAGGATCTAATAGAAATTAGAAGATAAAGCCCATATCAATTGAAAATTTTAAAACCGTAGAAACTAAATCAAAATAAGGAATAATTGTAATTTAAAATAAATCCTAGAATATAAAATTACCTTCTCTTGATCTGAGGATTGGGGATCAAAGATAAGAGGAGATCGAAGGGCAGGAGAAGAGATCTAGGTCGAGAAGTGGAGATCGAAGGAGAAGAGATCAGAGGCCAGAGGAGATCGAAGGCAGAGCTCGAGCTCGAGCTCGAGCTCAAGAGAGAGAGGAGATCGGAGGCCGGAGGTCGAGGTCGAGCTCGAGGGGAGAGGAGGAGGTCGGAAGCTAGAGGTCGAGGTCGAGCTCGAGCTAGAGATGAAGAGGAGAGAAAATCGTGATTTTTGAGATCGGGTAGTTTCTGAAGGGTGAAGAGTGAAGGCGAAGGGTTTGCTGGAGTCGGGTTTTGGTTTTGGGAGTATGGGTGGGCAAACGGGTGCATATAGACCGCCCATTTAGCACCCATTTAGTTTGGTTTGAGAGGAACCCGCCCGATTAGACCCATTTAACTAAATGGGTGGGTTTTGGGCGGGCCAAATGATGGGTGGGTCAGGTGGGCAAATGGGTTTGGGCAAAATCTGCCTTCCCTACCTGGAACTCAGCTCTGTAATCGCGTGAAACGGCTAAATTAAATTTATACTTCTGCTCATTAGCTCGACGTGTACGACTTCTAACATATATTAATGGTGTAATATATCCCCTTCTTCTTGTTCGCTTGTCTTTTCCTGGAAAATGACAAATCAGGTGGTCATGCTGGAGAAAAGGTCTATCAAAAAAAAAAAAGGGGGCACCAAATTTAAAAGAAATTGGTGGGGAGGACGAGCTCCAGGAGGACTACGGCCGGTTTTTTTTTTTTTTTTTGGGGGGGTTTTTTTTGGTTTTTCTCATCCGTTTCTTCTCAAAGGGCCTCTCAAAATAGCACGAAACCAAAAAATAGAATCCCGGAGAATGAGGAACAAGCGTTTGGACGGAGGACAGTAGTAGCCTACGTACATTTCTTTCTTTGTTTCCTCTCTGTGATCCTTTTTCCCCCTTCCCAAATCAAAACCAGAAAGGTTCTGATCTCTTTCATCCTTCTCTCTCGATCTGCCTGTTTCTTTCTCTTCTGTATGCACATTGAGCTGACCCATGCACGACGCTGTCACGCTTTTGCAGGGAGACCTTGACTATATTGCAGCGGGTTTGCGTCCCCGGACAGTTTACGGGGAGGCCGAAGTCCTCCGGGCCACAATATTCCATCTCAGGAGAAAATGACTTCTCTCTCTGAAACTGCTCCACCGCCGCCCAGAGCTTCCACCAATTCGTCTTCTCACCGCCCGGCTAAAAACTCCACCCCTTTTCTTCGCCGCCCTCCCAGCAATCTGAAGCCGATGCTTCCGTACCCGACCAGCGCCACCGGCCGGGCCAGGTCGCCGCTCCTCCTTCCAAGGAGGTCAAAGACTCTCCACCCTCACCCTCAGAAAAGTCTCCACCTCCACCGGAACAAATAAATTCACGAAACTCGCCGTCCTCGTCAAATGACTCCTCCTCGTCATCGACTCCTCCTCTGCCACCACCGCCATCAACCAAGTCAAATGATTCCCGGACGAAAACGCCTAGTAACTCCGGGGAACTGCCACCGCCGGGACGTGCTTCTTCAAGATCATCGCCTTCAGATGATGCCGGCGGCGGTTCACAGCAGTCACCGTCGAAAAAGGATGACTCTGGTGGTGGTAATGAAGCCGTTGTTATAGGAGTCGGTATTGGGGTCGTGTTGTTTGTCGTCATTATATTGGTCTCTGCAGTTGTTTGCTGCTGCAAGAAAAAGAAGAGAAAGAACGGTAAGTATTCATTTCACTAAATTGAACAAACTAAAAATCACTCATAATGTGCATTTCTGATTAAAACATACAAATACTTGCCATAAGGCAGCAATGCTACAAAATGTCACAGATATCCTGCATTTCTGCGAATAGAATATGGATATTTTCTGATTTTACAGGGAAAATATTCTTCGTAGCTTAACCCCTATACAATCGCCCAAGCATGGATAGACCCCCATGTTAGGGATTTTATGGAGATTAATCTGCGGGATTAAACATTAAACGAACAACGACATCAATGAAAATACCACAAGTAAGCAAATACTAACATGTAACGTAGTTCGGCAAATCGTGCCTACGTCTACGGGGCAATCCAGAGAGAAATATTTTATTATGAATCAAGAGTATAATCCCTCCAAGTTATACCTGAACCTAAACTTAAGGATTAAATCACAAGAGAAAGATACAATGTTACCTCTAGGGCATCAAAAATATAAAATCCGTCTCACCAAAAATCTCTAACATCCGCGGAGAAACCAACACAGTACCCTTGACGGTATCGTCGTTCTGAAGATAACGGTTTTTGAATCACTGCAATTGGACAACCGAGCTATCCAGAATCTGAACTTTTCTCTCTCTCTCCCCTTTTTTCTCTCTCTGGTTACTGTAGCTCCAAAAAATGCAAGGTTCTCATAAATAGAATTCTTCAAATCTATTCCTATTATAAATAGATCATCCAAATCCTCTTCTAGATAAAATTTTAATTCATGTGAACCTCATGTGAGCCTTATCTTGGGCTGGACCCACAACGATCTCCCCCTCCAGCCCAACGAGAGGGTATGTCTGTCACGTAGGTCCGTTGGGGCGTGCAAGTCTTGGGACCCACTAAGAGCAACTCGATGTTGGCTTAAATTCACCGTCAAAATGTTAGCATTATTTGTTCTTGGGTCTTGAACTTCTCTATTTAAGCCACTAATATTTCTTCACACTAGTACATATGGGACTAAAGTGTAGGTGTCATAATCACCCAACCTTACAAAGACGACATCATCGTCGTCACGACGTGACAATTAGTACATGCTATTATCACTGCCAGGCGATGTTGACTCTAGAGGTGACTCCTACAGGCTCTAGAGGTGGCTCACACCGTATTCACACGGTGTAACATTTAGCCACGTATAGCACTTAGCTCCATACTTTCGGCTGACAACTGCTCTGATATCATATTGCCACACCCCAAGCTCATAGGTCCATTGGCGCGTGTAAGCCGTAGGACCCACCAAGAGCAACTCGATGTTAGCTTAAATCCACCGTCAAATGCTAGCACTAGTTGTTTCTGGGCTTTGGGCTTCTCTATTTAAGCCACTAATATTTCTTCACACTAGTCTATGTGGGACTAAAGTGTGGGTGTCACAATGCCAATTTGTAACTCCTTAACAGGAGTTCATGCCGGCCGATCACCGACACAACTCGGCTTCTCTTTGGAAATGGTCTTCGTTAAAAAAATTGTTAGATTTTTATCTGTATGAATCTTTTGTAGCTTTAGCTCCTCTTTTTCAGCGGCTTCTCCAAGCCAATGATATCTCATATCAATATGTTTCGTTCTGGAGTAAAATGTGGAATTCTTACTCAAATCAAGAGCATTTGACTATCAATGAAGATATGGTAATTGTCCTGCTCCAAGCCTAACTCCTGCAGAAATCTTCTCAACCAAATCATCTCCTTACCGGGTTCTGCAGCTGTAATATATTCCATCTCTGTTGTAGATAAAGCAACACACTTTTACAACCTGGACTGCCAAGATACTGCTCCCCTACAAAAGTGAACAACCAACATGAGGTAGACTTCATGTGATCGAGATCAGCTACCATATCTGCATCTGTAAAATCATATAATACTGCTTTAGAACATTTACAACTCAAACACAATCTGAAACTACCTTTCAAATATTTTAAGATCCACTTTACACATTCCCAATGAACTTTTCCTGGATTAGAAAGAAATCTGCTCACAACGTCAACTACATGAGCTATATCTGGCCGAGTGCAAACTATGACATACATCAAACTCCCTATACCTGAAGAGTAAAGAATATTCTCCATCTTACTCTTTTCCTCATCTATAGTCGGGCAAAACTTTTTGCTAGGCTTCAAATAACCTGCAAGAGGGGTACTAACTAACTTGACATCTTTTACGTTTAATCTATCAAGTAGCCATTCAACATATTTCTTCTGTGATAACCATAACTTCCTGGCTTTCCTGTCACGAGCAATATCTATATCAAGAATCCGTTGTGTCAAGCCCAAATCCTTCATGTCAAAAGATTTAAACAACTCCTTCTTCAGCCCACCGATTATTTGACTATCCTTATTAACAATCAACATATCGTCCACATAAAGCAAAAGGTTAATAAAGCTAGAATCTGAAAATCTCCTAAAATATACACACAAAACTGTCCTCTGGTAGCCATGACTCAACATGAAAGACTCAAATTTTTTGTATCACTACCTGGGTGTCTGCTTCAAATCATAGAGACTCTTCTTCAACCTGCAAACCATGTGTTCTTTTTCCTTCACTTCAAAACCCTCTGGTTTCTCCATATAGATCTCCTTCTCAAAATCACCATGAATGAATGCAGTCTTCACATCAAGCTGATCAATCTCGAGATCTAAACTAGCTGCTAACTCCAAGATAACTCTAATGAACGACATCTTCACAACCGGTGAAAAAATCTCACCAAAATCAATGCTATTTTTCTGACCAAATCCTTTCACCACCAATCTGCCTTTGTATTTCTGAGTCTCTTTGTAGTCATCCTTCTTTAACTTGAACACCCACTTGTTACTAAAAGCTTTTCTATTCTCCAACAAATCCACCAACTCATAAGTATTATTCTTCTCAAGAGACTTCATATCTTTCTTCATAGTCTGGAACCATCTGTTCTTGTCTTTATGAGTATGTGCTTCCTGAAAGTTTTTTGGCTTCCCCTCTTCTATTAGCAAAGAATACTCCGAAAGAGAATATCTCGTGGATGGACGATACTCTCTAGATGATCTCCTAAGTTGTACTCTGGAACCTCTTATTGCTGGTGATGCTCCCCCTACTGAGGAGCCTCTTGCTTGTGATCCTAATCACCATCTCCCTGCTCTGGTATTTGATCATCATCATCAACATCAAAATCATGCATCTGCTCTATATCTGTAGGATTCAACTGTAATGGAGATAAAACGGGTGTCGTATTTGGAATCTCACTAGCAACACTATCTGACTGCTCTGCTCTCCCGAGATCTGCAATAGTCTGATCCTCCTAAAAAATCATATTTGCTCGTCTGATTATTTATCTTTTTTTGGATCACATAGTTTGTAACCGAAATCATCTTCTCCATAACCAAGAAAGATGTAAGGAACCGCGCTCTATCATCAAGCTTCTATCTCTTCTCCTTTGGAATGTGTGCAAACGCCTTCTTACTAAACACATTTAGATGAGAATAGAAAACATCTTTTTCGGACCAAACTCTCTGTGGAATATCAAAACCCAAAGGAACTGAAGGAGATCTATTGATTATGTACCATGTAGTGCGAACAGCTTCACCTTAGAAGCTCTTAGGTAACTTTGCCATCTTCAACATGCATCTGACTTTCTCCACAATAGTCATATTGTACCTCTCTGCAACTGTATTATGCTGTGGTGTGTCGGGCTCTATCCTCTGATGCCGAATACCATGCTTGGAACAATAATTTCTAAACTCAATGGAAGTGTACTCTCCTCCATTATCGATGCGCAAACACTTTAACTTCTTTCATGTCTGCCTCTCCACCATGGTATGAAACTATTGGAAGACTAAAAATATCTGACCCTTTGTCCTTAACAAGAAGACCCATATCTTCCGTGATGTATCATTAATAAATATGACAAAATACTTATTGCCACCCAAGGACTCCACCTTGATAGGACCACAAACATCAAAATAAATCAAACCCAGGATATTATCTTTTTTTTAGAAGGCTTACTGAAAGAAACTCTATATTGTTTGCCAAATAAACAATAATCACAAGGGATGAGTGACGAACCTTTGACAAAGAGAATGAGAGACTTCTTTGCCAATATCTACAACCCCTTCTCGCTCATGTGCTCGAGCCTCCTATGCCACAAACTGAGAGTGTCACCGTCTTGAGTCATGCTCAAAGAATCATATGAAACCTTTGCTTGAGTCTTATATAAATTGCAACATATACTTTCTCTAGCCACCACAAGAGAGCCTTTGGTGATTTTATATTTTTCTCCACCAAATTGAATTTCATATCCCATTCGATTCAAAGTAAGCCCTAAAATCAAGTTGAGCCACAAATTGAGAACATACCGTATTTCTTTACGATCAATGTGCATCCGGTATCTGTCTACAAGTGTATATCACAAAGTCTCACAATCTTCGAGTAACTGGTATTACCCATCTTCACATTAACAAAGTCACCTACTTTATACAATGTGAAAATGTCTCGATGAGAACTATCATGATATGTCACTCATGTATCCACTATCCACTCAAAAATCTGACTTGTAACATGCATACAGTGTTCTTCCCTGCAAATGAGAATAATATCGGTATCAGACAAAGTAGCTATAGTGTTACTGTCAGCTTTCTTCTTCTCATCTTTCTTTTCATCTTTGTTCCCAGTTTTCTCTTTCTTTAATGCCCAACAATTCTTTTTGATATGACCTAGCTTCCCACAATAAAAACAACCTCTCCCTTTAGGCTTTGATTTTCCCTTAGATGTGTCATGACCTATGGACTAGTCCCTATACCTACTCCTGCCCTTGTTCTCCGTGACAAGTACCTATGAGTTATCTATGCTGGTAGATTTCCTCCGAGTCTCCTTATTGAATAAACTACTAGTAACCATACTCATCGATAATACACCATCTGGAGCTGCGTTGCTGACTGTCACAACTAGTATCTCCTAACTGTCTGGAAAAGAATCCAATAGCAATAAAGCTTGTAACTCATCATCGATAGTCATCTTCATGGTAGCTAACTGATTAATCAAGCTCTTGAACCCATTCAAGTACCATGCTATATTGCTTCCTTCTTTGAATTTCAAGTTCACTAACCGCCTCATAATAAACACTTTGTTTCCCACGGTCTTCTGCTTGTAAAGATCCTCAAGCTTTTTTCAAAAAGACTTTGCATTAGTCTCACTCGATACATTAAGAAACGCACTAATGTCGATCCATATCCGAATATAATTGATCGCCTTTCGGTGTTGTTTCTCTCATTCTTTATCAGTCATCTTTTTTAGCTTGGCTTCATCTCCCTTAATAAGGTCATGTAAATCTTTACAATATAAAATATCTTCCATCTTGAACTTTCATACTTGTCAATTGGAACCATCCAATTTTATCATTATGCCAAAACTCTCCATCTTTTCTATCCCAAAGCACGCCTCAAACCAGAGCTCTGATACCACTTGTTAGGGATTTTATGGAGATTAATCTGCAGAATTAAACACTAAACGAATAACGGCACCAATAAAAATACCACAAGCAAGAAAACACTAAATTTTAATGTGGTTCGGCAAATCGTGCCTACGTCCACAGGACAATCCAGATGAATTAAGAGTATAATCCCTCCAAGTTACACCTGAACTTGAGGATTAAATTGTAAGAGAAATACAGTGTTACCTCTATGGTACTAAAACCCTAAAACTCGTCTCACCAAAAATCTCCAATACCTGCAAAGAAACCAACACCTTACCCTTGACGGCGTCGTCGTTCTGAAGACAACGGCTTTTGAATCACTGTAATCGGACAACCGAGCTATCCGGAATCTGAACATTTCTCTCTCTCTCTCTCTCTTTGTCTCTCCTTTTTTCTCTCTCTCGGGTTATTATAGTCGGATTACTGTAGCTCTAAAAATTTGCAAGGTTCTCATAAATAGGATTCTCCGAATCTATTCCTATTATAAATAGATCATCCAAACCTCTTCTAGATAAAACTTTAATTCATGTGAATCTAATGTAGGTCTTATCTTGGGCTGGAGCCACAACACCCCAGGAGTTCTATTGTTGCAGGTAGACCCCCTAACAAGCTTTTGACTCTTTTTACCCACAGAGAAAGATAAAGTTTTTTCTTTTTCTTTTTTTACAAGTAAACCTCTTGAGGACAAACGAATCCAAAAAATTCACTCAGGGGTCGTTCTACAATTGGGCAACAGGACAGGGGTCTAGCCGCAAATAACCCTACTTTTGGTAATATGAATCTTAACACATCCTCTTTATTGACAATTGTATAGTTTACTTGCGTACAGGCTACTACTACAACAATGCCTCAGCTCCTTCAAAATGGCAAGCTCAAGGTGGAGACCACAACATCAAGATCCCCCCGCCACCTGGCGGTGGAGGATGGCAACCTAACGGAGGTCCAGCTCCGATGAGCAGCGAGATGAGCTCCTCGTCCTACTCAGGACCTCACGGTCCAGCATTACCTCCTCCATCACCCAATGTTGCCCTTGGCTTCAATCAGAGCACCTTCACCTATGAAGAGGTTTCAGCCGCAACCAATGGCTTTTCTCAATCCAGTTTACTCGGTCAGGGAGGATTTGGCTATGTATATAAGGGCATTCTTCCTAATGGGAAGGAAGTTGCAGTGAAGCAGCTCAAGGCTGGAAGCGGCCAAGGAGAGAGGGAGTTTCAAGCTGAGGTTGAAATTATTAGTAGAGTCCATCATCGTCATCTTGTAACACTTGCAGGGTATTGTATTACTGGGAGCCAACGTATTCTCCTCTATGAATTTGTTCCTAACAATACGCTCGAGTACCACTTATATGGTTAGATTCTTCACTCAACTTTAATTTTCATTTTAATTGAAACTCTGAAACATTCTTGGGGTTTTCTCATTCTAGTATTTTGGTTTTTACTCGATATTTTTTCTGCCAAAAAAAAAAAATGGATTTCTGTCTTGTTTTGGAACCGCATGGATTCACGCACAGCTGCATAACTTTATTCTGTGTTCATTTGTACATGCACATCTAAATTTCTTAATATATATTCAAGAGAATGGTTGTAGTCCTCTCTAAGACCAGCAACTACAAATCTGAAATTTGTTTTTTTCCGTTAGATTGTTGAGAGACATATATTTTTAACAATAATGTGCAAGTATCAACTTAAATCTTTAAACCTTACATAGGTTCTCTGAAGAAATGTTCGTGAAAATTACAGATATTAGAATTGAACTTGGTGCACAACTATGTCCTGCAGGAAAAGGTGTCCCGACGATGGATTGGCCTACGAGACTCAAAATTGCAATCGGATCCGCAAAAGGCCTGGCGTACTTGCATGAAGACTGTGAGGAGTTCAAATTTATTCTCTCACCTTTTTTTTTGTCTTCCTTATTTTCTTTGCCATCTTTGACCTTATCAGATAAATAATAACTGTTTTTCTTCCGCATTACTGATGTGAAGGCCACCCTCGGATCATTCATCGCGACATCAAAACTGCTAACATTTTACTTGATTACAACTTTGAAGCTATGGTAATTTGACTAATGACCAATATAGTTCCTCACCAATTTAGCCGTTAAAAATGTACCGTAGAATCTACAGGACTGAGCTCTTACGCTAACATGTATGATTAGGTTGCTGATTTTGGACTGGCTAAGTTGTCTTCAGACACTAACACGCATGTTTCCACACGCATCATGGGAACTTTTGGGTGAGTAAAAAAATTGACCGAATGCAAATATCCAACATTTAATGATGATTTTCCTTTTTGAATCGATTATGTTTCTCGTTGAGTTTAGGTATTTGGCTCCCGAGTATGCTTCAACTGGTAAGCTTACAGATAAATCTGATGTCTTCTCCTATGGAGTCATGCTTCTGGAGCTGATATCTGGGCGACGACCTGTTGATCACACTAACAGGGTGGAAGATAGTCTGGTTGATTGGGTTAGTCGCTTTGTTCTTCATAATTAACTCTTTTGGTGTGAGGATGTCTATCAAACTTAAGACTAATTAATAACAGTCAGCGTTACACGGACAAGAGAAATGGATCCCAAGTATCAATGAGTGTTCGAAAGTGCCCGCTTTGACAAATTTTCATTAAGAGAGGACGGGGGAATGTGTACATATTATTGATCTCATTATGAGAACAATAATAGACTCTATTTAGCACTACTTGTTTACCTATAGCTAAAAAAAATGACAGCTGACCAGGGTTTGGATGATCATGAATATACTTTTTAGAAATTATTTCCTTTTATTTATTGATCCTTCTAAGGATTATGCGTAAGACTTTCAGTTCTTTATATACAGAAATTTAAATAATAATAATAATAAATCGCGTGAGAAGTGTCCATGTTATCATGTTATATCCAAGTAATCCAGGAGGAATAAATTATGTGAAAACAGAGCATCTAATAGTCACTATGGGAACAGGCAAGGCCTATTTTAGGGCAGATACTGGCTGAGGAGAAGTTTGAAGAAATTGTGGATCCGAAACTGGAGGGAAACTACAATCCAACTGAGATGGCTCGAATGATAGCCTGTGCTGCTGCGAGCATTCGTCATTCTGCAAGGATGCGCCCTCGAATGAGCCAGGTATGTATGAAGCCCTTCCCTGCTTTACTTGAAACCAATGTTGAAAATAACAATAACGCATGACCCTAATGCTCACCTCTAGATAACATAAAACACAAAACAGCGTGACACATAACGTAGCTTATATGAGTTTATCATTTATTTAGATATTTAATAAATACAAAATATGTGCTATGATTTTAATAAATATAATCATTACATTTGTCAAATATATCTTCACAAGAATACTGGTGTTTAACTATTTGAACTTTAAGCAAATAAAATATTTTGAAGTCTCTATGACAAATTATGTTGAAATAATGTAGGTTAACGCATGCTAGATATAGCGCACGCTATATTGAAATGGTGTGTGCCCTAATGTAATTATGAGGAGTTATGACATGTTTGAGTTATTTCCAAAGTTTACATATCGTATATGGTTTGTTACATTAAATAATGCGAAATAATGGGTTACATAAAGGGTTCTTTTTCAACAATGCTTGAAACTTAACACATCTGCAATGAAACTAAACAATTATCATTTTAATTCATCAATATAATTTGACATGCCTTTTGAAGAACAAAATCATGTATCGCATTGATTGTTAAATATGGTTTGTTTTGAGACAGATTGTGCGTGCATTGGAAGGCGATGCAATTTCCTTTGATGACTTGAAAGACGGGGTGAAGCCCGGGCAGAACTCACAGTTTGGATCAAGTTCGGACTGTGATTCAGGCACCTACTCTTCAAAGATGAGGCAGTTTCAGAAAGTTGCTCTGGCTACTGGAGAGTATACAGGAGAGTACAGTGGTGTGACAAGTGAAAATGGGATCAACCCTTCTGATTCCAGCAACTCCTCTAAAGAGATGAATTTCGGCGCTGGACGCGAGCCAAAGTAAAAAATCTAAATAAGAAAGAAAAAGAAAAATATTGAAGATGTATTTATTGTTTTTCTTTGTATATGAAACGAGTGTGAAATTTGGATGCAAGTTCTTTGGATCTTGTTTTTGGAGGGAGGGAAAGATGTATAGAACTATGGTTTACTTGATGACTGTGAGTTCGTAGTTAGTTTACTTTTCTTTGTTTTGAGATTTGAGTTGAGGAAAATGGTATGATAATCATATTTTATTATAATTTTATACTCTCATTATCTATTTTATATGAATAAATATGCCATTAATAATTATTTTTATCTTTAATTGTAGGTTAATGAATAATAAAGCCCAAGATCTCTTCTCTCAACAAAAACCTATGAATTAAATGAAGAACACAAGTAAGAGCTAAAAAACCCAAGCCCAGAATCAAGCCGAGTAGCCTGTAGAAGCCGGAGAAAATAAAAAAAATCAAATATGAAAAAAAAATGTATTCAAGATAGTTGGCCGCAAAGAAACGATGATATCTATCAATCCGGAAGGCGAAATTTAACATATAATATATGAAAATCGCCTATCTCGACAAGACGAAGCCATCTGTGAAGGCAGAAATTTGATAGGGCATCAATGCCAGCATCGATGCGAGCATCGATGCCAGCATCGATGCTGACATCGATACTGACAATTCTGTTACGAATTAAGGGCTGATTTTTGATGGTTTTGGATAAGATTTCAATCCAATGGCTCATATTCATTGATGTTTACTATAAATAGAGGTAGAGAGTGAGGGGTTGAGGGTGTGAAAAATTTTGTAACTCTATTTGGAGAGGAGGGTTACTCTTAATTGAGAAGACCTTCCAATTTTGTAACTTTTTTGTTACAATCAATAAAAGAATTTTTTTCACCTCTTCATATTTTTCTTTTCTTCTCTTTGTTTGATGATGAAGATGAAGATGGGATGAAGATGAAGATCAACAGTGAGGTTTGCTTTCATCTTGAGGCTAGAACCCTCTTGGGTGGTAAATTTCTTCTTTGTTAATATTTTTATCTTTTTATTTTTTTGCTTAAATAGCCAAGAGGCTAGAACCCTCTTGCCTTAGATTTATTTCATGTTTATAGAGTAGATTTATTTCATGCTTATAAAGTAGATTTATTTTTTCGTATTTAATTCTTGTAATTTATTTTGTAGTTTAGTTTTGTAATTTATTTTGTAGTTAGATTTTATTTTCTTGCACTATTCACCTTGAGGTTAGAACCCTCTCGGGATTAGTTTTTTTATTTTGTTCATTTTTTTTCCGCCTTGAGGCTAGAACCCTCAAGGGAATTGTCATTTTCTAAGAAGTGGATTCAATTATAGATTCCTCATATCTTTAATTAAATCATTGATCTTTACTTTCTTGAATTTTCTTTTTATTCTTGATTTTTCTTTTTGATTCTTGATTTTATTCATCTTTCTTTCTCTCCTTGTGAAAATCATTCATTCTTTGTCGCATCCACTCTCACTTACATTTTGTGCCGATTTATACACTATCACTTTCACAGTCTCTCTATCTCTTCACAATCACATTCACTCATCACTCCTATTTGTCATGCACACAACATAAGAACTGGATCTATTTTTCTCCTACAAACACCTTCCTCGTGGGATCGATAAATTTTTATACTATAACTTGATTAATTGTGCACTTGTAATTTTTGGTATATGTTTATGCCGCATCATGGTAGAATGAATTTTTTTCGAAACATAGTTTACTTTTTTTTTAACTTTACATAATCAAATTCTTACTAATTAAATCAAATTCTTACTAATTATCCTCCTACTTTATACTGATCTCTGTGATTTTGCTTGAGCTTAAGGGTTTTTTTTTTTCATTGAAAGAAAAATTAGCTGTTTCGCTTAGTAGTTTCAAATGTAAGATTTTTGTCTCCTGGAAATAAATTAATCATCAGAAAGTTTGTGTTATTGGTCGTAGATTGTCGGTTAGGCCTAAGTTCTAGAATTTCATTTGTTCTCCCAAAAATTCGAACCAGTGCGGAGCTATAGATCCTGAGGCAAGCAATTAACAAGACTTCTCCGGTTTATAATAAGACATTTAAGAAGCTATCCGACTTTGTATTAAGAAGCATCTCAGAAGTATACATGAATACTTGAAAGCAATGACGGATATCACCTACAAAATTTACTAATCTGCTTTTAAATATGAAAGTTAAACACTTTAATCACAGTTACCTACAAAACCATATGAAGAGTGCTCTTGTTTGAAGGTTCCAGTTACATCTCCTCAAATTACATGATACGTTTCACAACAGTCATGTAGATGAACAGTACACTGGATAAATAAAAATAAAACTGAATCCTTGGCCACGATGAAGCTTTCATGTTGATTGGCGATTTCGTTCATAGGAAAACAACACAACTTTTCTCCTTCATCTTCTCTCCAACACAACTTTTCTCCTTCATCTTCTCTCTAGGTGCATCCTTTCCTGTATGTTTATGTCTGCTCTTTCGGTTTGTATGTTTGGAACCACTGCAAGTTAGTTTCCTTGAACTGCTACTCTATCAAGCTATGCTGTTAACTTCCATCTTCCCAGCCTGGAATGTTCGCTGTAGCTTCATTTACCATTTTCACAAGGGTAACCTGCAACAATCAACAATTGATGGTTAAAAAAAAATGAGCTGATAGCTGTTGTTAGATGCCTTTTGAAATTTACAACAAGCGATATCAAAGCTGTTCTGAAGAGAAGGTAAAAGAAAAGTTGCAGTGAAATAATCCTAAAGAGTATATGAACATTGGCAGCAAAATGATTCTACTCAATAATAAAGGCTAGTGAAAGCAGGACTCTCAAATCACGGTGTTTTAGTACTTTGCATGTCAATAATAGAGAAGTAGATCCTTCAGCAAAACCATTCGAATTGTAAGGAAAAACACCATGGGTACATAAGATAGCCAAAGAACCGTTTCTTGAGCATTTTATCTATAGCTTTGTTCCTATCATCTGCAACTTGGACAAATCAAAGCGGTTCTCCCTTGATAACTGACCAATGAGGTAACATGGATGCTTCAACTGGAGGAAGACATATTTCAGAGAAATGAGAAACATACTCCAAGAGGCTGAGGTACCCTGATCCCTGAAAGGTTCTGTCTAACGTGGAAAGACAACATGAATTGCTATAGAGAATTGCACTTATCACAAGGCACACACACTATATCAAAGAGCAACTGGGAATCAGGACATCAAAACATATTCTTGTGGCCAGGATAATCGCCTACTTCTACCGCCAGCAACAAATATGTGATTCTACAAAAACAAAATATAGAGCACAGGTTGTACAACTCAAAACTCTCCAACTCTAACACCAAATCCTCAATACAGAATATGGTGGATGGTCCCATGCTCCCTGGAAAACTACAGTTTATATATTGAAGAACTAATAGCCACCCTTCCAAGAAAATCCTGACTCATTCAGTAATAAACAATGTGCCACCGGATCAAAACCAATGAAATGTTAATTACAGATATCTTTCATAGCTAAATGACTGGTTGAGCTGATCAAGGTATCGATAAAACCAAGCGAGGGGTAACTGTTTGTCGCTGCATTGTTTTAGGGTATATACAAACAATTATTACATGATAGGATTCAAAGAAACATATGTTGGATGAATTTCTCTGCTCAAATCTAAAAGTCAAGTACGAAAAACAAGAAAAAAAAAGAGACAATCGTCATTCTTGAAAAATTTTTACAAAAATGGAAAAAGAAAGCCACTCATTGCCTGGTGTGCTACCAACTTACCAGGAAAGGATAAAATTTAATGTGGCTGATCACAATATCTTAAGTTAACAACAAAAGAAACTGGAAAGTTTAGGGTGCCCCTATATTCAATAAGGTTAAGTAAACGAGAAAGGATACAACTGAACATTAGACTGTTCCAGAGAAATCCTATATTTAAAGTGGAAATTTTGCATTTAGTGTTCTTTGAACTTTTGACAGTTTATAATCACACCTAGAGGTGCTTAATTGGCATCATTTCTCATATTTACTCAATTGTAGTCCATCTATCAGCATTGTGAATTAACAGAAACTTTATCATTAATCCAGTTTCTTTCAGACTTCCATCCCCAGAGAATGCAGATGAAGAAAACCGGTCGCCTAAAACTATGGAAATCTCCAATTATATATCTTTCTCTGGAGATATGGAAGTAACCATGATAAGATTCATGTCGAGTTGACTGTTGCAGAACTTTGTCCTGTCCGTCATGGTGAATGGTCCATAGCCGATCCTTAATGGCAAGGGACTCAGATGATAGTGATCATCATACCAATTAACATATGCAAATTAATCTTCTATTTAACATGGATTTTAAGCAGAATCTATGATCATTTGGTTTCTATGGTGAAAATTCGAGAAAATTCTAGGCTAATTAGGACCCACAACTATAAAAATGGAGTGTTGGTTAATGTAAAAGATGGATACACTTCTGGACATTTTACAATTAAACATAGATCATGCTGGCTCCAATAGGGGAACATTTACATTATACAAACTGAGATAAATATATTTGCCATTTCAACTCAAGTGCATTCAGATATTTCTCAAACCCTGTCCAAATGAAGAACTAGGCCAAGGTCTGGAACCATGGATCTCGGACTTGGGAATGTTTTTGGTTACAAAATGAAACAGGTCATACCAACAGGCGTGGAGGATTCGTTTATATCTCTACACCAGTTATCTCTTTTCTATCCAACCCCAGTAGTCTCGACGACACAGCTCATATGACGAAGGATCGAAAACAATCCAGCTTAAGGGTCTTTTTTCCCATATTTTTGGGTCTTTATTTAAATTTGTGTTTTTAGGCAAGCTATTGCAAAAGTGCATACATGCTCAGGGCCAAAAAACTATAATATTTGTTATGACTCTAGATGACAATTGCTTCAATGCTCAATATTTGAATTTTAGTAATTTTGAAGCCTTTATAAAATGGAGAATAGGCTGAAAAATAGAAAGGTATTGGTCCTCCCTCATTTTTTCTTCCTAAACATGTTCCCCTGCCCACTCCCCAAAGGGTTTGCATCCTCTTAAAAACCAATAAGTAATGCAGAGACCATTACTTCTTTCCTCAGTCATCAATTTTATTTGGATAGTTGAGCGTGCGTGTGTATTATGTGTGTGTGTATATAATTTTTAGGAGAAAATGTTGTCTATCACCTTTTCCTTTCCGTATCTTCTCTGCCGTTTTTCCTTTCTTCCTTCCATCTCTTTTCCATTTTTTGATTTTTGTCATTCCCTATATATTTTTTCTTTTTTCACTTTTTTTAACCTATTTTATTCTCTATACTTTTCTTCTTCTGCTTTTTTTAGGCATGAAAGGTAAGCTTTCATTTCAATACCAAATGTATCAAATAAGTACAGACTCTCTTGTTGACTACTCACAGCACCCAAGCAATACAGTAAAACCTCAAAAGACAAAACTCAAAAGCAGATTCTCACAACCAAACAGACTCAAAACAAACCTCAATATTGTACAAAAACAAAATTTTCTAAAATCTTTTCCACTAACTATCCCCCCAAAAAAAGAGGGAAAATTAGCACCCAAGGTGTAAAGATTATTCCAATTCCAAAAATATTATTTCATTCTGGACATTGAGAAATTCTGTTCTACATTGTTTTGCTAAAATCGCACTCAAAAAAGAGGGGTTGCTGGTTTTCATCAGCACAAACACGGAAACAATATTCAGAACTCACCTCAATCCTTCTCTTTCTGAAATGTATTCGCGTCAAAGTCTTATCTTGGCAAGTCAACCATAAATAATATATAAGAGTGTCGTGGTATGTTCATTTGGCTGCAAATAAACTTCGTTACCTTTTGGCCTTGAGAAGTAAGAAATTGACATGCACCTTTAAAACAAAAAGTTGGAGCAGGTCCTCTCCAAATGATATGCCCATCACAGCCTCAACGAGTTTAACAGCAACCTCTCAAACTCCAATGACTGATATTGCTTCATAAGTATCTCCTAAGGATTATTATCTTTTATTTACACCTCATGAATCATAGACACACCAATAGCATTGGCAATATGATGGAGAGCCTTCCACAAATTAAACCTCAGATTGGGTAATTTAACCCATATGTGAACTCTTTTAACATCAAAACTGTCCAAGTGTAAATCTACGAACAAATTAAATTTTCCATTGTGAATGGCTAATGACATCATGAACTATTTTTTCCCAGTGTGACTGACAAAGTAAGTTTTGTGCAAAGGGGACAAAGAGATGGCGTGGAAAGAAGAGACATTACTTGAAGGATTTGGATTCTCTATACTAGCAAAAATGGTGTATACGCCAATACTTTTAACCTTAAACAATGATTTTATATGGATGATTGAGATCAAGATTTAAAGTTAGTGGGGGTAAATTTCACGAAAACCCTGTATACTTTTTCCTACCAAACAACCCTGAACTTTGGAGCATCCAACAATACCCCACTCAACATTAAGATTTTCCTAGTGGACCCCTGTCAGTGTTAATGGTCGTTGTAAAATGACAAATCACTCCATTTGAGATTAAACCACTAACAACATCACGGGGAGGGGGGTGCGCACTAGGAAAACCTCAGAGTCGAGGTGGGTACTGTCAATACCGTAAACTTGGGGTGATTTGGTAGAAAAAAAGTTTAGGAGGGGTTATGTCCAAAACCCTCCAAAGTTCCGCACAACGCAGGTTTTTTTTTGTTTTATTTTATTTTATTTTATTTTTTTAGGGGGGGGGGATGTTTTCTGAAACAAAGAATGTTGGACACTAATTTTAACAAGACTTTTCCATGTGTTTTCTTTTTCCGTCCCCTTCTTCTCAAACTTCTTCCTTCTCATTTTTCTATTTAATTTTTTTCCTTTTTTCATTCTTAGAATTTTCTAAGTACTTAATTCTTTATTTCTTTTTTGGATATCATTTTCCATCCTTTTCTTTTCATTATGTTTTTAGTTTGTTTTTCTATCTTTTTCAGCTTATTTATTCTGTCATGTTATTCGTTTTTTACTATTCTCAAATGTTGCAAGTAACAATACAACAATGATAAATGGGCTTAGCCCATTTCTTTTATTGATCATTGATACAAAAGTTTAATAGTTTATAACGTCTCATAATTTTTTAGTGGAATGAGGCATGTTTGATCATCTTTCCAATTGCAAAAACAAATAATGGATCGACTTTATTTTTAGTAACGATAAAGTAATATAGTGAATCTTAATATGTTAAGACTTTAGAATCAAACTTTTCTAGTATGGTATAATCACAAATTATCTTGTTATAAATATAGCATTAGTGGAATGATAAAGACGAAAATAATTAAAACTAAACAAAAAAAAAGTTGAAAAGAAAGAATATTTTAAACAGAGTTTGCTCAAACGAAGTGGTGAAATAAAATATATAAACTTTCTTGATGGAGAATGATTATAATTTTTTAACAAAACTAAACATTGAAAACTAGCTAAACAAGATAGGAGAAAAAGAAGTGCAGAGATTAAAAAATAGAAAAGCAACATCTATGCATAAACATAAATGTTTTATTAGTGGCAAACTATAATAAATCAAGATCTTAAACAAATAACTCTTATAAACAGATTAGAAATTCAAACTAGATGTTGAAGAGGACATCTTTATATCAAACTAATTCCTCTTTCTGATTCAGGACAAGTTAAGATTCAGTTGATTTTGTTTGATAATTTAGTTGGACTTTATTTAGGAGATTTTATTTTAGTTCGTACGAATTTGCAGTTTGAGAGTTTATATATTTTTAGATGTTTTTGTTAGATTTTGGTTAGGATGATATTTTTAATTTTATTAGATAAAATTTAAGTGAGGATGTTATATTTGGTGTAAATAAGTTGTATCCTCTATGAGGAAAGGACACTGAACAAGGTTGCTAATAGCAGATCGCGGCGTGTCGCAGCGAGGTACCGCTAAGCTTATTTCGGGCTATTGCTGCGAAATAACGGCAAATAGCGCAAGTCAAATAACGATCAAATATAAATATATTTAAATATCCTAAATAATAAGAAAAATCAAGAAATATAGCATCATAATTAGTTGATTACCTTTTTCTCTATTGCTGACGAAGCTGCTGCCCAACAGAGATGGAGATGTTGCCGGAGGGCAGCTCTGCTTTTGTCGCCGGAGGAAGTAAGAGAGAGAAAGTTGAGTTGAGTCCTCACAATCTCTCTGGAAGTCGCTGGATGAACTGTGAGACAGTGAGAGAGAGATGGGTTGAGAGAGAACAGTCATCGTCGTCGTAAGTCGTCGTCGTCGTAAGTCGTCGTCGGATGACCGTGAGAGAGAGGACAGTCGTCGTCTGAGAGAGAGGACAGTCGACGTCGGATAGAGAGGACAATCATCGGAGAGGGAGGACAGTCATCGGAAGTCGCAAGAGCCTGGAACTGTGGAGGTCGCTGGAAGTCGTCAGAGTCTCGTTGACCGGAGGCGGCGTCGACGTCGTCGGAAGTCGGGAGTGGGAGAGAACTCAGAGAAGCGGTCGGGACTCGGGAGTGGGAGAGGCGGCTAGGGCACGATAGGGTTCGGGAGTTGAGAGAAGCAGTCGGGAGTTGGGAAGGGTTTAAGTATAATGGGTACGGGCAAGGTTTTAAATATCGGATGTCGGGTTCATGTTGGATGGCTGAAATCCATATCGGATAGCGGAAATCGGGGATATATCGAGGAACATTGACTAAATATCGGATTGCCATATCGGGTAGTGTGCGTATGTATAATATCATGTCCTAAATGTAATCTAAGCATTCATAAATTCAATATAAGCATACTTTATAAATTCTATAGACTAAACATATAAAAAGTAAATAATATATGGATTTGGGTTCATAAATTCTATCGGGTTCATAAGGAACCCTTAAACATGAGAATGGATCAAACAGGTTTGGGTATTTATCACTAAACCCAAACCCGATAACAAAAAACAGATCTAAAAAAAGTACCATATCGGTCAATTTTTTAAAGCTAAAAAATAGGCTGATATGCTTGATATGACCCTGATATTTCCGATTTGGCCCTGAAAACCGATATACGAGTTGAAAACGTCCATGTCGTGTCGGTCAAGCCCTCAAACCGATATGTCGGCCGACATGTCGGATATGTCGGCCGATATTTAAAACCTTGGGTACGGGTCGGGTTTGGGTCGTGTTCGCGACGAAAAAAGTTTGGCGGGTTTAGCGGATTAAAGCGCTAAAACGCGCTATTACACGCTATGCGAACGAATAGCGGTTTTTTCCGCTTAAGCACGCCGTGAACCCCATAAGCGTAGCGCTGAACCCCAGCGACCGCTATTCGTGGCGTTATAGCGACGTATTGCCCACTTTTTACAACACTGACACTAAATAATGAAAATATATGAGTTTGAGAAATCTAACTTTGAAGCACGAGCTGCTAGGCGTGAAGCATTGTTTTATACGTTAGATACTATGAGTGATTACGGTCTATCATAATTTATTTGTTATTTTTTATCTTATATTTTAGTTATTGTTGAGCTGATATTTTTCAAGGGATTACTGTTCACCAGCACTATTTATTCATCTTTTGCAGATTATTGAATCTTTCCAATAGCATTTTTTTAACTTCAAATTCAATCAGAATCCGTTTCCCATCACTTTCTCAGCCCCTTTCTGAATAGTACGACAATTTCTTGATGGTTTCGTGTCACTCTCTATGGATAGCGAGAGGACTAATTTATGCGTATTTTCCTTTTTATCTAGTACTCTCATCAAGTAGCCAAAATTTTCAAATGAACTAACAATATTTGTATAGTTATTAAATAATTAATATGAATTATAACCTCCATCATTACACAATAAAAATAGGTCATAATTATTCAATTTTGTAAAAATAGGTCGTGATATTTCAATTCCATAAAAATAGGCCATGATCATCCAATCTTGATATTCACACTTAAAAATTGACCTGATATTTAATAATTGCTCCAAATTATTTAAATGGATGTTGTGATCATGAGAATCAAGATCATACAACTTGAAATTCACATATAATGAACTATTTGTTTGGTTCGTTTCCACCACCAGTTATAAAGTTGAGGCCTTTCATCTTTTTTCTGTCTCTTCTATTTTCTATTCTTCCTCTTCTTCTAGACTGCATTTTCTAGCCTTAGAGAAGTCGAATCACCCTTTTGTCTCATTTTCCTCGTGCTCTCTTCTATTGCGCTCTCTTCTATCATTGCCTGTACTCCTAACCATAGTTTTATGAACCTAGAACAATCTATGCAAAGATTAAGTGTGTCTCATATTCTTATGGAACAATATGGGCAGGAACTACTTCAAGCCATTCTCACCGCTAAGTTAGTCTTGTTATAACTAACTCCAACCATGTCAGCAATGTTCTAGCCGTTGCAATTTAACCGCAGGCTTCTTCTACTGTCAAAGAAGAACAAATTAAACTAGTTCCAGCTTATTTGACACCAATTGTCATTGATCTAGCACAAAAAAGCAAGTCAGTTTGAAGGTAAGTCTAATTGAACCATATTAACTGATGACAAGTCCAAGCAGAAATCAATGGAGTAAACCCCGAGCCACTTCCATTTATTCAACACATGATTTTGATGTCCAATCCAATAAAGCTCATCGCCAAAATCTGTTGACATTTGCCTGTTATCATTTCCAACAGTTCTATTTTTAACCAACCAGATGCCATTGTTAAAGTATGAAACTTTAATCCTCAGCCTCTCCATAACTTCAGGGTTTTGGTGCAGTGGAAGAGACTTAAAACATGACACAAGGGCAATTCATGTTCAAATCGTACTAGCCATGAACTACTAGAGCATATTATGAAAAAGATAGCTATGTGAGTCCAAATTTTGGCCCATGAAAGGGCACTTAACCTGGTGGGTAAGTTAGAGACCTAGAGTAAAATTATAAAGCTCAACCCTCACAACATTGGAGTTTTGGCGTAGGAGTAGGGACTTTTGACAGCCATCTTTTTCAACATCACTATGGTCACTCTGCAACTGTACTGACCCAAAAGGAAAGCTTTTGTTAGGCCCATGGTGTTTCTATGCCTATCATCCTTTCTCTTCTATTTTTCCTCTCATCACATTGCATCATGCCAAACAAATGAGCACCCAACAAATAGGGACCTTTCTTTTTTTACTCACTGAGGTTCAGAATAGTGTAGCATATTTCATTCCAAAATTTTCTTTAGATGATGACACAAACACAACCTTCAAATTACATGAAAAGTCCTACAGGGATATACGGACTGGATGTGTTAGTACTTCATGATACAAAACTTTTGAAGTCTACATATCTAATCAATTACCAAGCAAGTACATGGAAAAACACATTATTGTTTAAGAATAAATAATGTGTTGGAACTTCAGACCAAGTACCAATTGTCCCCAAAATTGCGATATCAAAATTGTAAACTACATGCAACGAACAGTATACTTATAGCTAATTTACATTTAATGATCCTGTGAATAAATAGCAAAAGATCAGAAATTGCATAGCTCAACAGATTGAAACAACAAAGAGAGGAAAGAAAATAATTATAAGATAACCTAGAAATAGAGCACAAGCATGCGGATCATTTTACAAAGCTCATATAAGTAAAAAAAATAAACAAATAAAAAAGACAATTTTTTACCCAATGATGAAAAAAAGAATCTTGATGTAGTTCAAAATTATTCGAGCATGCAGAAAGTGAAGTACATACCACACTTTCAGGAACCCCAGCTGGGGGTAAGGAAAGATTTCTTGGCGGTGGACCGCGAAGATATGATCTTTTGTCAAAGCGCCATTCACCAATTTTTCCATAAGTTAGCTCGCCCTGATTAATGTTAAAAGTATGCATAAGAGTGTCAACATTGGGTACCAGGATCATGCACCGCAAAACGTATATGTGCTTGGGATATGTGAATATTTCGGTTCAAAAACATGTTGGCAGATGTTACACATAAACAGGAAACTGTTCTTATAAGGAAACATATGCATAGTAATACATATTGATTGGAGAATGTATTAATCATTAATGAACTATGCCATCCATGAGTAGAGTGATTACGTTCTCCTGACCTTAGCGAGAGAGGGAGGGAGGGAGAGGGGAAAGGTGAGGTGCTGGAAACATGACAAGTAAATCAAACGATAGTATATGCAAATATTAAACACCCCAGATATTGAAACTCAGATGCTACATGGTACATATGAATAGAAGTATGTAGTTACCTTTAATGAGTAGTCACATCCATAAGTATAATGAATTATAAATGTCTTCCCCACCTTTAAGTCCCAAGGAGGCTGAGATAAATATCAAAGAATTTCAACCTATACTCGAAGATAAATTTGGTAATGAGAAAATGCATTTAACGAAAGAATTTTCATACACTACCTGTATCATGAAATCTTTGCGAAGAATGTGTTGCACCCCATGTAAAGCGCTAGCTATAGCATATGCATACCTTCAAAGCAAGATCAAAAGGAGGGATTGAACTAAATAAAATCATCCAGATGGTGCTTGCCATAGAAATGAGATACAAGCAAGTATAGATTAGTAGATCTTACATTTCTAGTACCCATCCAAAAGCTTTATCTGTCTCTGGATCATCTTTCATTTTGAGTGAGACATTCATCCATGTAGGAGCAACTTTTTCAAGCTGGGACTACATACGTGCAATGTAATATGCCCCATAATTCAAGCGAGGAAACAATTTACGTGAGAAAACACTTAAGAGTTTCAAATATAAAAGTTCTATCAAAAATCACATACATGTAAAGAATAAGAAAAATCACTCTTGAGGTTTATTAGCAAGACATAATCATTCTCTCAGTAATTTGGTATATTTTAAACTCTTTTTTAACAAATGCCACAGAAAATCATTAAATCCCAAGAAGGCACATAAGCAAAATGATATCTACCTTTTGAATTATAACAGGAGAGTTGCCAATAGGGTCCACATCAGTCACAGGACCCTTATCTTCAGGGTAAAACTTCCGTATGATCTTTTCATTTTCAGAGGGTTTGATGTAGAAAAATGGAAATGCTGCTGGATAACCTCCTCGCGCCAAGTTTGGTAAAGGATTTACAAAGATGTGATCTGGTTCTGCCATTAGTATATAGCTGCATAATAAGGCATACAAGACAATGAATTTACTGCATATAAAGGAAATAAGAAAGAAGCAGTTTGGGAACAACCATACTCACTCTTCCGCAATTTCTGTTTTCTCCAGCCATTGTACAAATGCCCATGGTCTATTCAAGACAATATAACCCTAGGGAAGTATCCAAATGTAATATGAAACCATTTGTTAAAATCCATAAAGAACGATATTTAATGTTAATATTTGCTTGATAAAACTAGAATGAAGATAGCTAAGAGGCATGAGAGTTTTAGTAAGTTAACTGTTTTAGCCAAACATACAGGAGCAAGGTTAAAACAAGAGACTATAATTTACAGTGATCAAATAAATAATAGTTTTGTTACATCACTAACAAACAAGAAGTCCAGTTTTGAGATTACAATTTACTAGATTGAAATAAAACATACTTTTGTACTGCATAGCTAAATTAATTATGTATCTTAGGTCAATGCAGTTATATACAGAAAAATACTTCCTGACTATATGCTCTAGAGTCGTAGACAAGATGTCCTTCAAATAGATGATACAGCACAACGAAAAGGTTATCTCGCAGAACTGTTTGGTATCCGTGCATGTTTTCTATTTGTGCGGATGCTAAAAATTTACACTAACTCCAAATTGACAGTTATGACCATAAATTTGGCCAATATTTTCATGGAGCATTATTAACTCAGAAATGAAGAAGGCAGAGGAGTTGTATTGATGATATTAAATGAAATAAAAAGAAACTTTGATTGGATTCCATTATGCTTTCATAAGATGACAGACATCTCTTATCCAAAGAACAATAATAAATTTTAGGGTTTTTCAGGTAGCCACCCGTAACTTATGTTCTATTTTGTGTTACCACCCTTAATTATCCAAATTTGAAAAAAACACCCCTATCTACCATTTAATTAACATAGAACACCCATGCCCTTTTCCATCCAATTCCATCCAAAACACAACAGTTTGACCATTTACCCCTACATAAGTTTGATTTTGTCACAGTTAAATACCTCAAATTATTTTTTTAGCATTTATACCCTAAAGTACCTTTTTGCCGAAAATACCCCAAGGTCACTTTATTTTCACTTTGATACCCCAAGATTATTTTTTTTGCCCAAAAAATACCCTAAAATTCAACAAAATTTAACTTTGTTACCTAAAAGTCCAAGAAAATCAAACTTATGTAGGGGTGAAACTGTCAAACTATAAAATTTTGGATGGAAAAGATCATGCATGGTTATATGTTAACAGAATGGTATATAAGGGTGGCTTTCTGAATTTTGAGTAATGAAGGGTGGTAACATGAAATAGGGCCTCAGTTAGGGGTGATTCCCTAAAAAACCTAGACTTTACTCTATAACTTTGTGATTGGCATTCTTATTCAACTGAGGATGATAAAATTTTATGAGCAAGTCCGCTCTTCAAATAAAACTTCTACTTGTTGGTTTTAAGATCATGTTTGCCACAACGAGACCTACTTTGTATTAGAGGGGCCAGATGCTATAGTGTCAAACTATCTGTTTCTATGATGATAATTTGATAATTATAATGCAATATACATGTAATTTAGAATATTTTACCAATATGCATTGATACTAGTTAACTCAAAAGTATAAACTTGGATTCCACTAAATGAAATTCTAATTGACAAACTGTAGACCCATGATTCCATAGGAATCATTTGACACAGATTTCATGTCAAGCTGTTTATATGATGTACCTATATTTTAGAAGTTCATTTATCGTTAAAGACAAGAAATATATCATATTGGTTGCCAATCAGACTGCAGAATATCCAACCATGTTTATAAACAAGTAGACAAGGTGCATAGACTAAGAGGAAAGTATGCAAGGACTTGAGGAACATCCACCTACAACAAGGTAAAATTACATACATATTGAAATTTGATCCTCATCCCACAAACTCTGAGCATGCAGAAGATTAACACAATGACATATAGCAAAGTCTTCCATGTTCATGTAAGCTAAACATGAAACACATACTATTATAATGAAAATTGAACACGTACCAATAACATAACCTTGGTAAGGTTTAAACCCGCCACTGGTTCCCTGCTTTGTGGTACCAATTTTATCGACAATAGGTGCATGCAATAGGAATTAGTTAACGGGTGTAAGGATTTAACATGTCTACCTTACTACTTATGCAGTATATTTGTCAAAAAAGACGATAAATTTATACAGATAACATCGCATTATTAAAACATATAATACTCTAATGATTAAAAGAAGTGCAGAACCCTCATGAATTTCCCCCCTATCAACCCCAGGGGTAAAGTGTAACCTCCGGACAATTACAAAATAATACTAAATAACGGGTACGAGGGGTTACGCTATCTACCTTATTGATCGCACATCGTATCAAAATGCATTATGAAACTTATAATAGTCTAGGATGTGTTTGGTAATCAAAGTGATATTAGTGTAGTGTTTTTGTAGAAAAACACCATGTCATGATGTTTTTTTCAAACATGTTTTGAAAACACCATTTATAGTTATTATTTATATAGCGGTAGGCGGGCGGCGGCGGCTTAGATGAAAAAACGGAATCTCAAAACACATTTTTGGTGTTTTGAGAAAACTGTTTATTTTTTGAATTTTGTAAAGGGTCAAGTCAAAAAAACACTCTGATTGCCAAACGCGTTTCATTGTTTTTTTGAAAAAAAAAAGATAAAAACGGCGTGGTTGCCAAACGCTCCCCTAGTGATCAAGAGAAAATTAGAATAATTCTCACCCGATCCATTCCGCTGGGGAGAGGGTTAACAACAACAGTAGGGATTTCCCCGATCAACTCATCAGGGTTCCCTGAGTGCAAAATCCTCGTAAAACCACCCATCTCCGACCCCTCCTCCTCCTTCATCTTCTTATACCAGTAGTACATTATCCTGCACTGCCACTTGCTATACGCCGCGTCCGTCGCAGTCAGCGCCACGTGGAACGGCCTCCTCGGGCCCGACCTCTTCGATCCCTCAGAGATATCGATTTTTCGGCCGGAAACCCTAGCTCCCATCAGCTCCTTTGACGATTCTTGGTTCAGATTGTGGATCACTAGGGTTACTAGATTGTAGGTCGCAACGAAGAAGCCTAGAGACAAGATGATGAGGAAAAATGGGGAAGCTTTGCCTCCCATGGCTGATTTTCTCCCGATCATCTTCGAATTTTTAAGAATTCAAGCACATATCGGGGGGAAAACGTCTCTTTTGGGTAGTTTTTTGAGTAAACAAGATCCCAGAGCTCTGAAATCAGAGGACAAGTGAGGGAGATTAAGGGAATGTATTGAATCTCTTCGAGTGTTGGAAGGAGAGAGTCAAGATGGAGTTGTTGGATCGAGAAATTTTTTTTAGGAGAAAATGGAGATTATTATCGTAGGTGTTCTAGTCAAGCCAAAGGTCTGATGTCTGTCTTCTTCTTCTTGGTTTATTAGGAATCTTATTGAAAATAAAAAATATGGTTTTATTGTGTAATTAAGATGAGAGATCCCTCCAAATAACACCAAGAAAATAAAGATATGGTTTTATTGTGTAATTAAGATGAGAGATCCTTCCAAATGACCCCACGAGTAATTATGGATAAGCAAGCTAACTTGCAAAGAAATTGTAGAAATGACAAAATTTAAAATGTTTGAAAAGAATAAAAAAATTCATTAAGTAATTATAGTACTGAATGTCTAACTCAAAAAAAAAAGGGGAAAGTATGGGTCAAGGCCCCTTTCAAGAATATACATGCAAGCTAACCCATTACCAAAGTCAAATATGTCCAAACCCTTTTTTCTAACTTTTCTTTCTTTCACCTTCTTTTCTTATCCCGAAAGTACCCCTTTCTTCTAGTTCTTCTGATCCTTGCCTCCTAATGTTAAAAATTTTCCTCTATTCCATCTCCTCTCTCCTCCCTCCTATTTTCGGTCATTCCCACATTTTCACTCTACCTCCATCCTCCCAACCCCACCCCCACCCTTCTTTCTCTTATACTCATCTCCTTCCTCTATTCTCCGTACCAACTTCATTCTCTCTTCCATCTCTTCTTCACCTAAACTCTATTCTTATCTCTCATCCTCCACTCTCTCTTCTCTTCTCATCTTCTCCTTCCTCCTCCTTCCTCCACTTACCTTTCCACTTTGTCTCTCCTTCTTCCTTCGTTTCATCTCTATCTTTCTATCCTCTCCTCTCTTCTCCTCTGTTCTGGAAGCGCCACCGTGTATAGTTCAAGGACCGCTATTTTTGCTTAAATGAGTCATTTTCTAAAATCACACCGAAGTTAACACATAATAGTCAAACCTAATATCTAATAGTTAAACTTAACACCCAATGGTTATAGTTAACACTGAAACTTTATAAGTTAACTAGTAAGCTTTACAGTTAATATGTAAGCTTTAAAGTTAACATGTGAGGTCTAAGCTGAACTAACAATTAAGGTTTTTCACTATCATGACATCTCTCTTGTCGTTTTTCCTTTTTTCGTCAACCATAATTGTATCACTTAAAGGACATCTCATTTGGCTTAGATTATCATTTTTTAGTATTAACTTTAAATTTCGAGTGTTATCTTTCAATTTTTGAGTGTTAACTTTAAATTTTAAGTGTTAAAATCTTTATAGATTTTAAAGTAACACTTAAACTCAACATTAGTATAAAGAGTTAAACTACCTCGAAAGCTCTAGGGTTTTCATGGGTTTCCTCTGTAAAACCTCAAAAGTTTGAATAAATTATGATAAATAGTAATAAATATAATATATGGTTATAAATAACATATTTTGATGTTTGAGTATGCTAGGGATTGATTTGAGATCAATCCAATGTATATATGTAAATATAGATGAGAAACATGCACGAAATCATGCACAAACTTGAAATTGAGTTGTTAGTAGTCGACTACAACTCAGAGTAGTTAACTAGTAAGTCGTTAGTCGACTAATGAAGGCATTAGTCGACTAATCGGGCTGTTTCCAGAATTCTTTCAGGTTTCAGGTTGGTTTTGTTTTATTTTCGAAGCCAATTATTTATACCCCTATATATACTCATTAAAACCCTATTTTTAGAGAATATAATTCGTGAGAACAGCAGCCAATTTCCTTCTCAAACCCTAGCCCTAGTTTGTGAGATTTGGGAGAGTTTTGAGGCATTTGTCGAGAAGAAGACGAAGCTTGATGATCGTGGTTGAAGAGGAATCTTGCATACACGTGGTTGAGGAGTTCAACAGCACCCTAAGGCAATGCCATCTTCATCCAAACCTACACCCTTAGTAATTTAAAGATTTAATGTGTTTAAATCAATGTTTTACATGTTTATTCATAGTTACATGTGATAAAAGGTAGATTTTTGATAATAGATCTTTAACCCATGATAGATCTAACGTTTTTACTTGCTGTTTATATTAGAAGCATGATCATGATCATTAGGCTTAATGATAACTTTTTGTCTTGCATCTGGTTGAGATTTGTTAAAACGGGGTTCGAGCCGCACTCCTTCGCATGTAAATTCATGAATACACAAGTATAATATCGGTTGCACACATATGAGTATCCCGAAGGGGATTATGACAAGTGTGGAGTTGATTACACTTGAGATAAAAGATATATACACATTATAATACACTATTTGCCGTTTATTCTACACATGAGGTGATCGTGAGCACAAGTTTTGGATCCGCACATCGCTACACGTGCGCGAATGTTGAATATACGTTTGGTTTGAGCGGTAACACATGTTTAAGTTGATAGTGTTGGAATAACACATAAAATGCATAATCCATCAGTGGTGGATGCTAAGTGATGAGTAGTTTTCCCACAATGAGACCGCACCTGTACCACACTTAGAGTTGGGCGTTTTCCGCAATGAGACCATAGCTGTACCATACTCGAAGATGATCGGGGTTTCCGGATTGGGCTGATATGCCTACACTCCGTTGTACGATCATCTGGATGCATCATTCCAGAATAGGATGATTTACCTATCTTCGCAGAACGATTGAGTAAGGATGTTGCTACCACATGATATTGTGAAGTACCTTACAAAGGTATCGTTATTTCATGTATACACACACACACACACACACACACACACACACACATATATATATAGGATGATTTACCTATCTTCGCAGAACGATTGAGTAAGGATGTTGCTACCACATGATATTGTGAAGTACCTTACAAAGGTATCGTTATTTCATGTATACACACACACACACACACACACACACACACACACATATATATATACACACA